AGGTGGAGGAGGAGCCCCAGTACTGCCTAGTGGCGGCGCCCTGGTCCCACCAGCAGGTGGCAGTGGTGGTGGCAGTGGCAGTGGCAGCACTGTGCCAGGAGGAGCCGCGCCGATAATTGCACCCAGCGGCCACAGAAGATTAGGAGGAAACCCTCCCCCAGAATTCACAGGGATAAGGGACAAGAGCAAAGCATTCTTGCTCGCATTCAATCTCTATGAAGGGATGAATCCAGATGTTGACTGGCTCAGAATCCCCTCTTCATGTGCCATGACTTTCCTCTCTTATATTCAAGGACCCCTCGTTGAAGATTGGGTAGCAGAGCAGGCATGGTGGCTTAACAAACAAATAGCTAACAGAGTGGACCGGGGAAACATGGTTCTGTGGCAGACAATCTGAGACAGATTCATAAATGCCTACTTCAACTCGGCTGAATGCACCAACACCCACAAGTCACTGCAGACCCTCGTCATGAAGGGCAAGGATATCGACACGTACATCACCACTTTCCAGAACCTCATCACAAAAGCTGGGTATAACCCTGATAAAGCCACGATCCTTGAAATCTTCCAAGATGGCCTGCCTAACCAGTTAGTCATTAATGCCATCTGTTTCCAGCACCCTGTCAACTGGGAGCAGTGAAAAGTGGCAGCACATCTCCAGCAGGCTGAATACCTTATTTTAAAGGATCACCTGGGCAAAAACAAACCGTTGCACAACTGCAAGGGTGGACACAGCCGAGAGCAGTGGGTCCAGGCCCTCAATAGAATGCGCGACCCCAACACCATGGATGTTGGACGTGCCCGAGCCTCCATGGCCCTTACTGACACTGACAAAGCCCAGCTTCAGAAGGAGGGACGATGTTTTAGATGTTGTGCTCAAGGGCACATCTCATGCAACTGCCCACAAAAAGGCCTGCATGTGGCTGCAGCCAGCACTGCCGTGGTGTTACCCTAGTGTTGGGGGAGTTTGGTTTGGTTTGGTTTGGGGCCATTTTAGCCAAACCGGAAACCAAACTGATTAGAATTTGCCCAAACCGAACCCAAACTGAACCAAACCACTCCAAACTGTTCCAAACTGTTCCAAACTGTTCCAAACCAGTTCAAACCGATTAAAAATAATTGGTTCAGTTCGGTTCAGTTCGGTTTAAACTCAGTTTAAACCACTTAAGGAACCACTTAAGACCTTGATTTGAGGCAAAAACAATTGATTTTGTTCAAATTCATCAATTGAGACTTTGCTTCAAATTATTTGAGACCAAAAACTATTGATTTTGATTCAAATTTGGTTCAAACTCAGTTTGAACCAAACCAAACCATTTATTGAGCACTTATGAAAATATTTTTTAATATTTTTTCTTAATTGGTTTGGTTTGGTTTGAACCAGGTTTGGGACCCCCAAACCAGAAACCAAACCATTTGGTTTGAGCCAGGATTCTCCAAAGCCAAACTGTTTAAAATGGTTTGGGTTCGGTTCAAACCCAGTTTGGGTTGGTCTGAGACCAAACTTCCCCAACACTACATTACCCCCCAGTACCTTGCGAACTGTGCTCCCCCCTACCCTGACTGCAAACATACCAGCTCCCTCTATCAGTACTATTGCCGTATCAGCTAATTGCATCCTTTTGAATGAGGAGCAGGCAGACGTACAGATCGCAGCAATGAAGGTGCAGTCTCAGGAAGTGTGCAACCTCATGGTCGAGAAGCTATTTGGAAGAGAGGATTTTCTCAATGCTTGAACCTGGTGGCCTGGGCTAGAGCTTTAAACTTAAACATGTACACTAGCAGATATCAATCTATGCAAATTCCAGTTCTGTTTAAATCTGCACACGCAACAGCTGAATGACAAGTCCTTATGGACTCCGTAGTCACCATGTCCTCGTTACTACAGGCTGTGGAATCAATGCAGAATTCTACAGGATGCGTGTATAAAGGAGAGACCCGACAGGGATGAACAGGTCTCAGAAAATATCCAATGAAACAACGATAACACAATACCACCATACTCCATGACATCCGTTCTCATCTTTATTTCCTTCTTCCTCGCTAGCGCCGTGCACGGTAGCGCCGTCCTGGAACCCAGAACGGCCCGGGAGGGCGACTACGTGCAAAATCCTTCGGGAACTGCGTCTTTTACGTTCTAATCAGGCTGCGGCTATCCTGGTAGGTCCCATCAGTAGGCAAACCTCCATAGCGCATACCTTAAGCGTAAAATCCCTTTAGCATGTGGCAAAACCGCCTCTGGCTATACGGCCACAGTGAACCAGCTTGCCTTTGGTGCACCGTCCGGCCTCGGTGCCGAGGATGCGTGTGGGCGGTGCTTCAATGTGACAGGCTGCACGGACCCGTATACGCCAAGTAACAAGAGCCCGTTTACAAGCATCGTCGTGAAGGTTACGGATCTGTGCCCCATCCAGGGTAACGAGCAATGGTGCAGCCAGACGGTCTCCAACATCACCAACTCGTTCGGCCAGTCGGCGCTGTGCGTAATTTCTCTCTCTTTTCCCTGTCTTCGTCGCCACGCGGGATGCCTAACGAAGCATGCACGATCGCAGCCTCGACCGGGTGCCCCTGGAGCGTTCTTCCCGTTGGGGAACGGCGCACTGACTGGGACATACGAAGAAGTACCGTGCACAAACTGGTCCGGTCCGGAGGGCTCAAGCCTCTGGGACGGCGCGTGCCTCGCGGACGAATATACTGGTAGCTGGCCCTCGGCTGGCTGTGGGAATAAAGGTGCGGAATTCAGTCCTTCCCCACGTCGCAGAACGTTTTGGTTCATGTGAGATAGAACGTGACAAATGAAAGACCTTGTAAAGTCACACCCCATAGAGAATAAAACTCGTTTACGGAATGCAATACTTGAACGGATATACCCCAGTCATCTGAGATAGATCAAAGTTTGCCTATTTTCCAGCGCCCTTGGGTCATGTGACGCAGACGAAACACCTGGCGCTTGCCTTGCTCGATTTCGTTCAGAGAACCCCATCATCGACAGTTGAGCTTGTGCAGGGGCAAATCCTGTGCCATTATGTAGTCATCACTCCTTCTCGTATCCTTCTTGAGGGCCCCTTCAAGACACAATCAAACCGCGTCATCCGCCGCTACCAGAGTCATGATCCTACGCTGGTGGAACGTTTTGCGAGAGAGAAAGTCGATACAATGGTGGACAGAAACGAAAAGCAAGACCGGTGAAGAAACACCTGCTATCATAGCGCAGTCCGAGCAAGTTGCTTCTGTCCGGCCATACCGCTCAGCGGACGAGAATCGGACGGGCACCCAAAAACCGGGTGCGTCCGTAGCAGCTGACCGCACCAAGACCAGGCGTTATAATATTGAGCACTATATGAATAGCTAGCTGTCACAGTCCGTATTCTGTAGTTCGAGAATAAAAACGATGTCACGAGTCTATAATAGCTACTGCAAAAGCCCCACGTCAGAAACTCTTCTTGTGGTGCAGGACGGGGAAAACACAGGAACGCACCAGCTCCGAGTCCGATTTTTTCACTGGCGGGGCGTGGCGCTTCGAGGGCGACGGCTCATCACGCTTCGAAGGCTCGGGTCGCAGCCCGAGATACTCCGCGAAAAATACGCGGAAGATGAGATTCCACGCTCGCAGAGTCGGGAGATCAAGCACCGTCGCGTCGTCCTGACCACGGCCATCAGCAACAAGACGAACAGCAGAGGAGGTAAATGTACGCACGCCGAGGGTGTGCCACACGGACGGGAACGGCTCCGCGATGACGTGCAACACGCTCACGCCGCGGCGCAGGAACGGGAGGTGGTCGTCGCCCATGTAGCCGAGACTGTTGTCCGTCGCGCTGCGCGGGCGGAAGAAGCTCCTGCCGAGCGCGGCGGCGTCGAGGATCCCCGCTGTGCGCAGGCGGGTCTCGGCGTCGACGAGCGCGTCGAAGAGCCAGGCGGTGTCGGGGAAGTAGGAGCGCACGAGCGGGTGCACGGCGCCGAGCAGGTCGAGCAGGACGAGGTGCTCGATGGTGGAGAGCTGCGTGGTCGGCGTCGAGGGTGAGAGAAGACGGCGTTTTGGGTGCGGGGGGAGGTAGGCCGCTGCCCAGGTTTCGGCGAGGTGGCTGTGGGTGGGCGTGTGTGAGCGGGCGATGTCAGGAGAAAAGGGGGAGAAGGAGAGTTGAACCGTGCGCCGTAGATCGAGTCGATGTCCGACCACACCCTGAAGGCTTCTTCGCCGTCGAAGAATATCAGTTGCAGCGTCGTCTCGGCCGCGTCTTCGTCTTCGTCTGGGTCCAGATCTCCATCTTCAATGCGTTTCGCGCGGGCGTCGAGGAGGGGGTCGAGGGTCTCCGCAATGTCGAGCATCATGGCACACGACGCGGCAGAATCAGTCGCGCCAACGAACTACTACGGTGGTCGGCTGGTGATGGGTAGGAACACACGACAAAACAGCACTCTGGCGCACCTGATTCTGGGGATAGGAAGGGAAAAACTTGCTATCAAAGTGCGCTGACAACACGACGCGTCTCGGCGCCTCTGGGTCTTTGGTCGCGATGATGTTCGTGAAGTTCTTTGGACCATAGGGCGTTGAATCTATGAAGCTGTCCTCCTCTATGTGCCATTTGAGGTTACGGAGAGTGGAAACGATGTAATTGCGGACAAGCGTGCTGTTTTCGGTATCGGCTATTTGATACATGAGTCTACGAATTCAAGCAACCGTGGACAAATCTGCGCACGAGGTCTAGGAATGAGAATCTTTTGTAGGTGGGAGTGAGGATCAGAGGCGTCGAGGTTCTTCGAAGAGTCCCGCATGTTTGCCAAGTCCGATAGGGCTGGAGAGGATAATGCAGGCAATGCACGCTCGCCAAGTAAGGAGGCGGCAAGTGAGAGGGTGAAAAAAGACCAAATGAACAACCACCGAAACATGTTGGCCAGAGTTTTCTGCGAAACCTCGACGCCGAGGGCGAGAAAAGAAAACAACGACACAGTCCGCTGTGTACGACGGTTGCTGTGATCGTTGTTTATTATATAATGGAAAATGGTTCGACCCGGGTTCGAACCGGGGACCTTCTGTGTGTTAGACAGATGCGATAACCAACTACGCCATCGAACCTCGTTATGAGGGTATTCGACTTTTAACCCTCTACTCGCCTGCTTATCGTGAAGCCAACCAACTCGTCGATTACAATTTCTGTATTTGCCATGGCTATCTTTGGCCTGTGGGTACGTCTCTTCTTTTCTTTCGTGCACACTGCTCGAAATTTGACGTTATGAACAGGTGATAAATAAAGCTGGCGGTCTTGTCTATCAACGCAACTTTGCCGGTAAGTGGAGGCAATATTGCACCTGTCAGCTCATTCACAGCACTAGATGGTCTCACACAAATGACCTCCAACGAATACCTTGTCCTCGCGGGCACGCTACACGGTATCCACGCCATCACGAGCCGACTATCACCTACCGGTACGAGCTCTGGTGCACATGTAATCGAGGCAGATACTTTCAAAATGAACATCTCCCTCACCGCTACGGGTGCGCCTCGTCATTCTTTTCCTACGAACAGTCTCTAAGAACGCATCACGCAGGCACAAAGTTTGTGCTGCTCACATCTCTTGCCGAACCCTCTGCGAACACCGTGCTTCAGAAGGTGTATGAAGCTTACGCGGACGCAGTGATGAAGAACCCGTTCCACAACCCTGAGATGCCAATACGTTCGGAGGGTTTCGATACGAGGATCACTGCACTGATAGGAACGGGACACACATAAAGCCTGCAGCGCACATTTATGCAGCTCAATGTACCCGCTTTCTTGACTGGACACCATATATTCGAGTAGTGCGATTGAGTGGTGTCATTAGATACGGCATGTCTTGTACGAAAAATACGTATATTTTACCCTCACGAATCCTCTAACAGATCATCCAAAAGTGCTTTCGCACTTGCGATTTTTCCAAAGCGCAGCGCCGCCACGCCTTCCGCCTCCCGCCCTAGCGCCCCGCTGGGACCCATAATCTCCTCATCCGGGATCGCCGCAAGCCGCGCGATCTCCGTGCGGACGTACGCCGTGAGCACGAGCATCGTCTCGGGGAACTGGACGTACGCGTCGCGCTCCTCGGGGCCAAAATCATGCACTCCAGAGCCGTCGTCGCGCGTCTCCTCGCGCACGCGCGCCGCCTCGCTCAACCGTGCCACCGCACCGCCCGGGTTCACCGCGCGCCGGAACTCCGGCACAGGCGACGTCGGCGCAAGCGCGAGAGCAAGGCCCTGCGCACCGCGCGCGCCAAGCAGATTGCGCCACATCGCGGCGGCCAGCTCGGCGTCGGAGCTCTGCGCCAGCGCCAGGTCCAGCGCGACGCCGAGCCCGGCCCACTGCTCACGGAAGATTTTCATCTGCTTCGAGACGAGCGCTTCGGGCGCGCGGCCGCGCTTCCGGGCGGCAGAGGCGCCACCGTTTGGCGTGTTGGGGGTGGGGGAAGCGCCGTAGAAAGGCGTTGGGCTTGCCGGTGCCGTGGTGGGTTCAGCGGGGGATGCAGGCGTTCGTGGTGGTTGGGATTGTGGCTGGAGAACCTGGCGGATGCGGTCTTCGACGTCAAGGAAGAAGTGGTCGATGAGCCCCTGGATGTGCGCCTGGGCATGTGGCGCGGGGAGCGCGCGTAGACGTGTCGTGAGCATCCATATGTGGAGGTTCGTCACCATGAACCATGACTGGAACGTTGGGGGAAGATGACACTCTGTTGTTCCAAGAACAGAGAATTAGAAAGTCGTGTCATTCACTCATGGGAAAACGTGACGCGCCTTGGGCCCAAAATTCGCGGTCCTCCTCCGCACGACCAGCACACAGCTGTTCATATAGTGCCAGGGCGCGCCGAGCTGCGACCTGGCGCGAGCTGCCATATCCAAGCGCGCCAAAGACCTTGAGAAACACTCTCATTGCCGTCGGTGATTGCTTCAGCTTGCGCGTGAGCCACGACTGCTCTGGCGGTGGTGCCTTTTCGTGCTGGTACGGTTTGGTTGGGCCAGGGGTTGGTTTTGGTACGGGTGCGGAAACATACGATCGCAATATATATGCGTTTCGTTGAGTGCAAAGGGGATGCCGAAGCGGTCGTACGATGGCGCGCTGCATGAGAGCGCAGGTCTTTGGGTGTCACGCTCAGACGCTCACTCAGACTGGTCAAGTTGGGGAGAGCAATCACGGCAACGTCGGGCCGGATTACGTCAGTAGCACCAAAGCGTCCGAGTCGACTTGATCCAGTACTCGACGTCCGAGAAAACCTTACTTTTTTTATCTCACATTCGATGTGTTGCACGCTGGAAAGTACTACCTCACTAGCTGGACTTTATTCGAATGAGGGAACTCACGGGCACATATCCGACTCAGTGTTCATTTATACGGCAAGACACCGCTCTTGGGACGGGATGATATTGACCTGACGAGGCGGCATCTATTCCCTCGGGTGGGATATCTTATCTGGGTCTATGGTGGGAACCCGGCGTCGGCTTTCTAACATTGGCTATCCCTTTCACTTCTCAAGCTTCTATCACCATCGGACCTTACACATTTCGTCCACATACGACTGCGCATTCTGCTTCTTGCCAGTGTCCAGAAATAGAAGCTACTTCATCTCAGACCGTACGTGAGCTGGCTTCTTTGATCCAAAAACCACGGGCATCGAGGAACATATCGTCTATCTCTGGGGTTGGAGGAAATCGTGTGGCTAGGGAGGTGTGACGAGGGAAGCGCGTTCAAGCTATAGGCGACTTGCCGAGGCAGAAAAACGAGTTCTGAAAATGAAACCAGTCCGAGGCAAAGAGCCGCGGATCTTCTTACGGTCGGATCCCAGCGGACTTCTCGAGATTGTTCTCTTAAAATGACAGTGAGCAAGAAAGAAGGACACAAGACCCATCAATGACCGACCTCACTGTGATACTGTTTACGCTCTCAGCGGGATTTTCTCTCGTTGCTTTTCTATGCTGTCGTCGTCGTAGCGGATCTCTCAGGGACCTCAGAGGACCAGCTTCATCTTCATTTTGGCTGGGTATGGTGCCCGAATTCTTCGCCATGTGGACATCAGATCAACTTGATGGTTGGCAGGTAACGAGGCAGATATTCGGTACCAGAATGAGGTAGGAGATTACGAGTTCAAGTGGATGCGCGAATATGGCAGTGCGTGGCGTCGGACTGGATGCCTTGGTGTGAGTGCATGATGCTCGGTAACCGTTCGCCAATTCATTACTGAACAGGGTCACAGACAGATCGCTTAATGGTGGCGGACCCAAAGGCATCGAAACACATCCTGCACTCTGCTGGATATCATTACCCCAAGACGATAGACAGGGCCCAGTTTTCTAGGTTGGCGGTCGGAAACGGATTAGTTGCCGCCCAGGGTTTGTACTCCTTTGAATGCCTTTCAATCGCAACTCATAGACTCGGACAAAACCGTACCACAGGCCAGGCTCATCACCGTCAGCGAAAGATCATGAGCCCAGCGTTCAGCACTCATCAAGTACAATCCTTCCTTCCGTTGTTCCATAGGACCGCGTCAAAGGTTTGACGTTTGGCAATCTACTCGTGGGATGCATCGCAATTTGATTGCATGTAGCTCGTTCAAAAGTGGAAAGAAGTAATCGCTGCCGACCCGTCTGACCAGCCACTCGTGAACGTGGTAGGGTGGTTCTCACGCGCGTCACTCGACATTATTGGAGAAGGTTTCCCCGTTTTCTCTTGCTGTAGCGTCGCATACTGACCGCCAGCCCAAAGCCGCCTTCGACTTCCAGTTCGGGTCGCTTGATGGCTTAGCGAACCCCCTGGTGATTCGAAATGATAAAGAGTTGTAAGGCCAAAATATCTTCGTCTGCCTTCACGTCACGACTCAGGATGACACATGTCGGTAATCAATAGCGTCGACTCCATGCTCTACCCTTCTTGGTACGACCTTGTCTTCAAGGGGACATGGAAATATATCCCGAGACCACTGCTCGAATATGTCCGCTACATACCCACGCGCGAGTATCGTGGATTGCGCTCCTGGCTGGACAACGTCCGTGTATTCTCTAGGGGACTGATCAAACAGAGCACGGATAAAGGAGATGGAAACGACATCATGAGCGTTCTTCTGCGTGCGAACGCATCTTCCAACCCTAAGAACAAGATGCCCGATGATGAAATGGTTGACCAGATCGCGTGCGTCACTTGATGGCCACGTTGTATGTTGCTTACTGGTATGCCGACAACAGCACGTTCCTTTCTGCTGGGCATGAAACAACCGCCAAAGCCCTGACGTGGTACTTCTATGCAATTGCGAAACATCCCGAGGCACAGGTGCGCATCCGAGAAGAGATCGCACTTGTCCGTGCCAGAGCCGCCGGAGAAGAGTTTACCATCGCGGACCTCGACAGTATGGCATACACTCTGGCTACACTGAAGGTGCTGGTCGACTTTACCTATTTATGTGTCCGTATTACCTCTGACGATGTGTAGGAGTCGATGAGGCTTGATCCCATTATCTGGTTCACTGCAAGGGTAGCGAGTCGGGACGACATACTCCCGTTCGCTTTCCCAATTACAACTAAGTCGGGCAAACAAATCACGTCGATTCCCATCAAGAAGGGGACCCCGATCGATATTTCTCTAGCTGTCTACAATCGGTGAATCTGATATCGCGTTGGGTGGGCTGGTTGCTGAACGGGAAAACAGGCTGCCGGATGTGTGGGGCGAAGATGCGAACGAGTGGAACCCAGAGCGGTTCCTAGACCCACTGAGGGGATTCAAGGAAGCGTCGTCCAACATCGGGGTCTTTGGCAGCTTGTGAGTATGGGTCTATCTCAGCCGTACTTGACTGACGACCTGCTACAGGATGAGCTTCTGTACGCACCTGAAAGAGGGGTCCTATCAGGCGTCTTCTGATACGCGAGCTTTCTAGCAACCGGCACTCGTGGGTGCATCGGCTGGCAGTTCGCGTAAGTATTGACAGTTGCACATATAGTGCTATCAGTCGATGGTTGACGTTATTTGCAGGGTGCTTGAGATGCAGATCATCATTTTGGCGCTCGTAGAGAATTTTGAATTTTCGCTTCCTCCTCAAAACGAGAAGACGAAGATTTATCGCAGGCCGA